GGAATTGAACAACCCATCGGAATGGTTGTAGTGTCAACCGTACGGTTTGTCTTGACCGATTAGTTGCACTAGTACATTTATGTATTGAACAGGATCCCAGAGAGGGATGTTGGTTTTTTGATGATCGTCGTAAACGAACTAGGCCTCAGTTAATTATTGCGTGCTCTTAACCCATAAGATATTAAATAGGCATGTGCACATAATTGTTATTGCTTTGATTCTTTGGGTGAGATCCAAGCCGGGTCGACATACTTAATGAATTGGGTAATAACATTATGTGTTCGATGTGCTATTAGGATATTTACGGTCACCATGTGCGTTAGTCTGATGATGTCCCCGAAGTGAGTTCATGAAGGAATATTATGCTAAACCCTGCAGGTGGACTTATTCCGGCATAATATGAATGCTATGAGCGAGCGCTAGCTTCGGTAATATAATATATTAATTAATTGTTGATTATCAGTGATCGAATTAATTAATGGACATTATATCTTAAACATGGGGAGATAAATCAGATAATTATAATTAGGAGTCTCAAATGTAATTTGGGATAGGTAAAGGAGTGCAATAATATTATTGTGGTGGACTTTAATATTATTAATATATTAATTGTGGGGTTGCTCCACAGTATTAATATATTAGAAGCCCTTATCCTATTCTCCTTAGGGTCCCTACTGTAGCTCTATATATACAGCATTAGGCTCTTGGAAGAAGAGAGACAATCCCACAACCTCATAAACTCGTCCGCCTCTCTCTCTCTCTTTTTCCAAGGAGTTGTTCTATTTCTTGTGTTCCACTGATACAATATCTAGATAGTTGCTTGAGAATACAGTAGAAGATCTTAAGGTATATACGGGATTCCAATCAAATCTATCATACATCCAAACCGGAGACCAAAACCAGCAAGTGACCATACCACGACGACCAGGACGACGAGCCGTCGAGATCGCCGCCAACCGCCGCCGCACGCGCCCGCACGCGCCGCCAGAAAGGAGCTGATGCTGGAGCTTGTGATCGCGCGTGAGAGCGCGTGAGAACCTCGATTTCCGACCGGTCAACGTCGTTGACTTCGCCGTGATGTCAGCTTACTGGATTGGTCAAGTTTGTTCGATTCCGAGAAGATTTGATTTGCGGTCATCTGTTCGGGCCAGCCAGATCTACATAAATTTTAAACCGTAAGTTTTCTACATCAAACCTTTAGATCCGCTGCGCATAGGTTTATGTTTGAATGTTTATCCGTAATTTGTGCATATCGAGATCCTTACAGAACCCAACAGGCTTATCTTCCAATATGTGTTCGTTTTATCCATTAACCCAGTCCTTGATAGTATCCTATATCAGAACCCTAACTTTCTGGTGCCAGAATTCTTCTTCAGCCAATTGAGCTTGGTCCAACTCCTTTAATTTCTCCCATTCTGTCCAGTTTCTCTGCCCCCCCCCCCCCCNNNCAATCTTCTCATTTCCTCCAAACTCAAAGACAACTTTTCAATTACTTTGACATTATCAGACTGCAGTGCTTTGCTCCACTTAATCAGAGCAAACTTGTCTTCTTCAGCTTCTCCTTGAACTTAAACATTGGAGTCCCCTCTGTCATCTCCTTCCAGGCTTGAGAAACAACCTCCTCCACATTTTCATTCCTCACCCATCTTCTATAAAAAATAAACCTATTCTTAAACTTATTTTTAGAAACTCCAGACTCCAAAATGAGCATACGATGATCATAGCAGCTTCTGAAAAGAGAATGAACCTTAGCCCCTGGATTATCTCAGATCCAAGAAAAGGAACCAAAGATTCGGTCCAATTTCTCCTCTACAAAACCTTCCTCTTGTCTATTATTGCCCCAAGTAAATGGGTGTCCCTCCATTTGCACCTCCTGCATCCCCATATGAGCAATGAAATTAAGAAACCCTTCATAGCTTTTATCTGATCTCGCTCTTCCCCCTTGCTTCTCAAAGCTGCCACAAAGATATTCCAGTCCCCTCCAATTCACCATTTTATACCCCATTTTCTTATATCTTCCTCCAGTAACTGCCATTGATTGACTCTGGTTCCCTTTTATCAGTACTGCCATTCGCCATAATCATCCAACTAGCTTCTGAGTTCCTAGCTAAAGAGTATTCCACTTGAATACAGAAAGAGTGTTGGAAAACTTGCACTACTTCCACCTCAGCAGACCACATCAACAAAAGACCCCCACTCATACCAATTGGGTCCACTGCAACAAAATTATTAGCAAAACCTAACTTCTTACAAACAGTCTCTGCAATTTTTTTTGTTTTCTAGTTTCAGAAATGCAAACAAAACTAGAATTCAAACTTTGACAATTCAAATTGTCATAATTATCAAATACAAATATACAACCAAGCCTGGATAATACCATTAATAGATATTTACAAGACGCTATCGATGCAACCCAAAATATAGAGATGGCCTCCAGAGACAGACCACATCTAATACAATACAACACAACACAACACAATAGGTAATATACCAAAAAAATTTCGGTGATTCCACAAATATGATACAACATAAGTTAAAGATTTGCACTAATAGAATCTAAAATCTTTTCTTTATCCTGATTTTACATATGTGGTATAATTTTACATATGTGGTATATAAATAGACTTAAGTCCTAAATAACATGGACAAACCCAAGTAAAAAAAAAACTAAAAAACTATTTAATGCAAAAATAAAATAATAGGTCTAGCATATGTAAAATTAGACCAGATGAAATAAAAATAAAAAATTAAAGCAAATTATAATAGCGATAAATTGTAATAATTGATTCAGTCTATAAAATCAATGTAATAAAAAATAATCGGAAAGACTTGTTTTCGAACACGGCACCATTATTTGATGTGGATAACATATATTTCGTGCTCCATCGCATTTTGAAGCAAAATCGTATACATTTAAAGAAGTCAATGAAAATACGAGTAAATAGGAATGCGAAAAATAATCAACGTCTACGAAAAGACTTGTTTTCGAACACGACACTATTATTTTTAGTCTAGTAGGTTATGGATGATACTTGACCTATAACAAAAAAACAAAAAATTAAAGCAAATTATATTAGCGATAAATTGTAATAATTGATTCAGTCTATAAAATCAGTGTAATAAATAGTAATTTTTATGATTATTTTGAAAATGTTATATTGTCGATTTATTTTATGAATTTTTATAGTAGATTGTGTTGATTTATAATTACTATTTTTAGCCTAAAAAATTAATCAAATAATTTTTTTTGAACATATTAACATCACCAATGTGTACATGCCACATAAACAGCGGAGATATTAACATGTGTCCACCGTGGATAGGTGAACATTACTCTTTATACATAATAGTAGTACACACACTTATTAGGTACTAGTGGCAATGGCATACCGGTTGTTGCTTGTTGTTAACAAACCAACAAAACAATATTGCATTGCACCACAGACAAAGCGGATGATTTTAATTAGTGGTACCAAGAATTGCTATCTTACTAAAAAACTTGTGAGACACAGATTTTCAAAGAAGAAGACCCCACGTCCTTCCTTTGAGTCATTTTTTAATTGTTATTATTATTTTTTACTTCTGTTGAATGTTGATTCCTCATTCTGGAGCTGCACTCCTATCCTATTTTCTGCCCTTGTTTATTCATTTTTTATATTTATTTACAAATTAGTTTCAGGCAAATAGCTGGCTGAAAATTTTCCCCATCTATCCATCATAATCATTCGAAAAATTGGCCTTCAACATCTAATCTTCTTCAACTTATTTCCCTTCTGATCTGATCTTGATCCTGATCCTGATCTGATAGCACGCACTCTATTTTCTCTGTGTCTCTGTGCGCGTGCAAGGGCATAGATAAAAAATAAAATGATGTATGGAGGAGGAGGAGTAGGCGGGACCCAGAGCAAACGCGACCTGGCATTGGAGTACCAGTCTCAGATATCCGTTTTGCGGCCGAGCATCCGCGCTATGAGGGCCAACATTACCGTCAAATTCCAGGATCTCTACGGATTCTTCGTCGAAGGTAATAATAATGTAATGTTTTCCATGTTTTTTTTCTCTGCCATATGTTGTATTTATTCCTTCAAATTTGCAAAATTTGTCACACTTTTTTTTTTT